CAGCTCTTCTTCCATGAACTGTTGGACTACTGACTAAATTAAGGTACGAATAAAAATAGCCTACGCCCATCCTCTCCGCCCACCTTGAGCTCTTTTAGAAAAAGGGAAGAAAAAAAATATTTATTGCTGCATTTTTTGGACACCTGATCTGGAAGGTGGGCAGACTGAAAGCACCTGCTGCACTGAGTCCTTAGGGAAGAAAGTCAGAGATGTTCATCTAGTCATTGTGAGGGACTCGAGTGTGAGATGGATGCTGCAGGCTTTACAAGGCTCAGAGGCTTTTGGCTTACCACTAAAGCCAGTGACAGGTACCTGGGCATCTTGACTGTATCATTGTGGAAGTCACTGCCACATCAGATGCCCAAGGCTTCTTTGCGTTTTGATATGACAGAAGTGATTTTAACATATAAAGCCAATTAATGGGAGAAGGAATAAAACCATCAGATAAAACCACAGATTTTACAGATTTGAAGTTGCACTAGCAGAAGTTGAATAAAGCAAAGCAGTGTCTTCTGTCTCCTTGAGCTTTTTCCTGACCTGTGTGCACAACATGGTTTGTACTGGGAGTGACAGGGAGTGGACGTACAATAAGTGTTTCCCCAACATGGAAACCGTGTGCGACAACCTCATTTCTCATGAGATTTGTCCAAGTAGTTCATCACACTGTGGTCAATTTACTTTGTTGCCATCCAGGAAATACAGGTAAATAGCATGCAATCATACTGGTAGCATTAAACAAAATATTCCTTTACATTGTGACTGCACACCGTTGGCATCTCTAGTGTCCATTTTGTGGTAGGGGAAATGCTCTGACCCAAGGAACACCCAAGAAAATGAAGCGAGAGCCCTTAGAATTGTGGTGTGAGCCATCATACCTAATGCTCGCTTTTTATGTCATGATGAGGAGACTATCTTTCCTCCCCACTAATATAGGGGTACTGTGATGCTTTAAATAATTGATTCTCTTAAATTTTCCCTAAGCCTGACATCTGGAAAGAGCTGTGGCTGTGCAATAGGTGGTAGTTTGTTAATTCTTTATACAGCCCTAGCACCTCTCGCCCTGAAGGACTAGACCCCCTGAACTCTGGACCACGACTACCTTCCCCTTCCCCCCCCAAAAGGCCACAGTAAATGAGGTCTTCTTAGAGAAGTCCAGCTGTGTGATAGCAGCTGCTGCCTTGTGCTCCCCTAAAGGGAAAGTGGGGCCTGTTTTGGGGTGTGATGGGACCAACTGGCCACAAGCCTTGCATTTTCTCTGTCTCAGTGCCCTTCGCTGCTCTTGGAGAGGTGGCCCTGCAGAAGAGGGTCCCGAAGGATGTGTAGCAGCCAAATACAGCCTCTGCTGGAGGGAAAATTCATGCACAATTCAGAGCAAGTACCACTTTACAATAACTTCTAGTAAAGAGGAGCTGCAGAGAATAAAACAACTAATTGGGTCTGTATCGGGATGCTTTAGTACCCATGCTGAAATTTGGCCAAGGAAATGAAGCTCACACCTTTCACTGTTGCACACAAATAAACCAATATTTCCAAGGGATCTTTCACAACCAGCATTGGTGAGGATTTGTCATGCATAATGTCCAAACCTGAATGCACCTGGCTCCGGTATGGGATCATTGGTGATTATTTTGGGTTGGTTTTTTTTTAATATTCCATTTTCAGCTGGAAATTACTGATGTGACCAAAGTCCGATTCCCTTCAGCAGTTTCTCCCTTCCTCCCCCCACCTTTTCGCACTCCCTGAGGTCTGACCATCTGGAAATCCTCCTCCACCTCTTCATCATGTGTGAATTTCCACCTAGGGCTGAAAGTGTCACTGTACTAAAGTGTGATGCATTAACACATTGAGGCAGAAAGCAGAGGGGAGTTGGGGATTATAACACTTCATGACCCACTCCGCAGTCGCTCTATGATTTAATCATCTTTATCAGCTTGTATCCTTTTCTTTGTATCCCTGCTTTTCCCCTGTATCCTTTATTAAAATATTCCCATAATTAAAAAAAAAACAATTCTATGCAAACAAGTAAAGTGCAGTACCTTGTCTTGAGACTCGGATCAACTGAAAAAGGCAAATATCTCAAGGAGAACAGGCCTTGCTCAAGCAAGCTAGAGAACCTAGATTGCTCTTTCACAATGAAGGTTGCTAATTATCCATATCTCCTATTATATATTGCAAACTTGGGGTTCTTTCCTGCCAATCCTCGTGCACATAATCTGAGTAAGTGTAATTTTTATATGTATAAAGTATAAGCAGTAATAGTGCTACCTTGTACAGAAATGAAATCAAGCCCTGCAAACTATGTGCCATGTTGGTTTATCCTTTCGGCAGAGCGGAATGGAAAATTCACTAGTTTGGAAGTCAGTTAGCTGCCTAGCCTTCTTCTAACTAAATACTGAGGCTTATTATATGCTTCAAATAAATACATATATATATTTCTTTTGTGGCTTGGTTGCTGTAATCATCTTGGATGTAATAATGTTACTAGCCTCAGGGCTATATTTATTAAGATTTTAATTTAAAATCTTTCTGTCCTTCAGCATTTAAACAGAGGAAAACCCCATCTGGAGTAGCCAAAAAAAAAGTTTCATCCTTTTCTTTTTCATGCGTTCCCCTCCCTTAGGCCCTCTCTCTCATCTTTTAAGCAAAAAACCTGGAGCAACGCACTTTCCTGTTGTAGCTCTGCACCCTCCTAACACTTCAGTACCTGTGTAGGTTTGGTAGACCCAATGTCTGCTTAATATGATCCATGTGCTCCTGTTCTTGCTGTCTCTGGAGCAGTGGTTTTGTTTTCTTATCCTTGTATAATAGTACCAGTGTATTTCACAGTAATATTACCACACACTATGATTTATTCTTCATAATGCTCTCGGTGAGGATATAAACCACAGCAATAAATGTCAGAGGGGCGAGACTATTACGCAGAAATGGCAAAGGGCTGTGGAGAAGTCTTAGGGTTATTCTTTGTTAATAAGCTGCCCCACTTCTGAGGAGATCACGGCAGGGAAATAACAGAACAAGATGACCTGTTTGTAACATGGGGAATGAAAAACTCCCACAGTCTTCAAACCCCTTTGAGGGGACATCTCAGTCAACATCTTGGTCAAGGGGACAGCCTGGACTGTCACAATGTATATGCTTTTTCAGTTGTTTTGGAAGAAATGGCAGAGGTTAGCACCCAAGCCGTATAGAGTTTGCAATCCATTTTGTTTTAATCCCATGGCATATTCAAGCTATTCCCTCATGAAGGGACATGCAGTGCTGACTTAGAAATGAAAAATACTGAGCAGGGCAGAAGGTGATTCAGAAATTTTTTTTAATAACCCTTTCACATGATTGAGTAGTACTGGAACATCAGTGACGGGTGGTAGCAGAGGACCTGGCTTGTAGCTAATGTCAACGTAGCAAAGGTGGAGGGTGAGACAGCCTCAACATACTTGCTAGAGACCTGCAATGGATAAATAGCACTGAGCAAATGACTGTAAGTCATGTGGGCCAGCTCTCAGCTGGGATAAATCAGTAGAGCTCCACTAACTGTGACAGTGCTACTGCTCTGCCCCAGTGGAAGATCATCCTTGCTTGAACTGGAGGACTTTGGTGCTGTTACAGGAGCCCCTTGCTCCTGACCCTAGCAGTGAGTGCATCAGTCAACCATATCACAATCATCTTTAAAAACCCACTCTGATGTTCTTGTGCAAAAACCACCAAACTGCATGACAGTTTTGGTTTGATACAACAAAAGGCTCATGGAAAAAAAAAACTAGGCAGTTTAAGTATGAACAGATTGAAAATTACTTTTGACATACAGCACCAAGGCCATGCTGTTAGTGTCAAGTTCCCTAAAGAGGATGAATTTCTGTATGCTGCTTTTCTCCGCTTGATTTCAACTTACAGAGGGTTGAATGCTGTCATCCTCAACTTAGAGCTAGTGAAAATGGGGTAAAGAGGAAGAAACTCAGGCCTAAGCACAGGTCTTCTTGCTGCAGCCTGTCCCACAGGCAGTAGGTGTAGACACTTCCTCGCCATTGTGCTGCTCGCTTGTAGAAAAGAGAAGGTAGCTTATGTTCAGGTACTCCTCAAGTGCTACTGATTGTCCATCGTGAGATGACTCAAGCTTCCGTACCCCATTTCTCTCATGGCATTGCAAAGGTAGCAGCCATTTTTTTTGCTTCTGAGGTCCGTTTAAAATTGGAGGGAAACCTCTCTATCTTGTCTCCATTCCCTGATAATCACTGACTTTCTCAGGACAGCTGATTTTAACATTGCTCCATCCTACTGTTCCTTTTCTTGATCTATTAGATGTATCAGTCACAGCTGGATGTATAGAAGAAATGCACCCGTCGACCTCTAAATGCATTGACTCAGTAAGTAGCATTCAAATTACAAGAAGTCAAGTTTTAACTATTTTGTTTACCACTTAAATGCAGATTTTATTTTAACTCACTTTGCGAGGCTTTTGGTGTGAACTTAAACAAACATGAAAATCATGTTCTTTAACAGTATGTTAAAAGTGCTTATATGTTAAAAGTGCTCACCACAAAGCAGACGTTTCTTTGTTGGGCAACCAGCACAGCTTTTTCATGTTGTCTGTGTGTCCTCACCCGCCCCAACCTATTTAGGTCAATACAAGCAACTTCAGAGGAAGTCACTGCCTGCTTACAAGTCTACAGCTTTGGACTGCAGAGGACAGACTGTGCGAGGAAAACAAGAGCACTTCTGGACCGTCAACAAGCAGCCGGTAGCTTTTGAATATCACACAGGGTATCCACCGGATGGTGTTCAGTCCCTTTACTTTGGAAATTGAAGCAGATCCCTGAACTCTGTTCCTTTGCCAAAGGACACGCCGCTTTGTACGGAGACCTGCCTGAGGCGAGGTACCTGACTGCATCACTTCACGGCGCACGAGATCCACCCGCGCTTCGTTCCCCACAGCGAACCTGGGAGCTTGGATGCAAACCTTCCCGGAGCGCGAAGGGGTCGTTGAAGAGGACCGGTAGGCCAACATGTTGCCCGTGAGGCACCGCAAGGTAGCTGAGCTGAAGGGAGCGGGACTAGAGCCATGTTAAAGCAGGTGCAGTGGGAGTGGGAGGCTGAGGCCGTGAGTATACCCCTGCAACCCTCTACTGCTGCCTCCCCGTGTCCCCATCCTGCCTGACACTTGGGCGAGGAGCTGGCATTCAATAGGTGCTCTTCAAAATGTGTTGAGGGCTCTGTTTTATTTCTCTCTGACTCATCTTCCAGATTCTCGTTGTACTTGCTCTAGATGAGGAGTTCCCGGGTTGGTCGGTTCCTTTGTTTCTGCCTGCTATACCCCCTTTTTCTAAGTGGTGTTCAGAGTAGGACCCTTCTTTTCGAGAGCAAATCTCTGTTAACAGACAGTTTTCAGTTAAGGAAGCATGGGCAGGAGTGAAGGAGCCAGATTAACCTCTTAGTGGTTTTTTTAATGAGTTAGGTCTACCTTTGCCAGTTCAGAAAATGTCCAGGCTGTTCAGAGCAGCATTTACCTACTTGATTTTCAGTAAGACTTTCACTTCTACAGAATTATGGTGCTTTTGAAACATCCACTGTTTTTGTTGCTTAAAAAGTAATTGTGCGTAGTGAGGAATAAATCTGATTATGGATACATAATTTCATCTGAGGCAAAAGAATAGTATGAATACCAATTCCAGGTTGAGCACAGCGCTCGCAGCTGGCCCCTGTAACCGTGCATTTCAGTTTCTCTGTATTTCCAGCAAGACGACAATGGCCACCTTGCAAAAAGCTCTTTCAGACACGAGGCAGAAACATGTACTTCAAGGTCTAGCCTTGAAACTTCTGTGGGATAGCAATGCTCATCTGAAGTGCCGTTTAAAACAGATTGTGTTTCACTACGTGCAAAAATCCCCCATATAGATGCAGCTATATGAGCAAAAAAAAGTGCTTTTGCCAGTATAGCCTATTTTATTTGGGAAATGCTTGCAGAAAAAGATGCTTGTGCTAGTAAAACTTGTATTTGCTGGTTATCAAAGGAGAAGCATTTCTAGTGCAAACTGGGCCTCTTCATATATGAAGCTTTATTCAGTTCAGCCATCAGTACAGTAAAGAAATCCTTCCTCAAAGGGATTAGTAAGGTTACCTAATAGATATTATTAATGGTTTAAGAGCATAAAAGGTGCTTTAGCAATACGTGAGGGGCTAGATCCTTTGCTAGTGTAAATTGTTTATGGTCCCACCGAGGGCATCATGGAAACAGGGAGCAGTGAGGGAGCTGCCTGGTGCCGTCGCTGCCTGCTCCGTTTCTAGAGCTCCCCACCGACTCAGGAAGGTGCAGAGCTGCACTGACTGGCATCCCCAAAAGCGTGACTTCTGCATCTGTGCCGCCTCCTGAGAAAAATGTGCATAAGCAAATATCTAGATTATAGAGGAAGAGTTGTAGCGGTTTGATGCCTCGGAAACATGCCGATTTACGCTGGCTGAGGATCTCTGTTTATACTGATTTCATTATACTAGTAGCTTTAATAAGGATCAGATTCCAGTCACGAGATTTGATGTTTCCACAGAAAATACCCTTCGATACTGTACCTTCTCACAGTGGGGCTCCCTGGCTAACCGTGTGCTTGCCCATTAAGCACAAATCCCAGCCATTTCCTTCCCAGTTTTCCCCTGCATTTAATGTATGGAAAAGCATGACCCTGAATCAGATGAATAGCAGCCGGTTTGAGAAGGTGTGTGTGAAAATGTATCCTCACGCAGATGAGCTCAGAACAAATAGAATAGAGGGGAGGAGGGGAGGAGAGCAGAGCGGGGGGAGCGTGAAGCTACCCTTCCCCTGATAGTTCAGCCACTATGTGTAAGCAACAAGTTTATGCCCAAGGGAAAGAACTGAAAGCTGAGGAGATCTTAAAATTAACAGAGCTTTATGGCTCAATCAATAGGCCCTGCTCCCTGAGCAAGATTAGAAATCAAATGGCACATTTCTTTCTGTTAACCCCGTTTGCTCTCCCTGTAGGCTCTTCTGCCTGAAAGCATCTAAGGTTTGATTAAGTTCTTCTCTAGGAGGAAGCCAGAGAAAATCCATTGTGTGAGAGCTGCCTCCAGAATGCTGTGTTGGACACACTTTAAATAACAATAGAGGTTATTAGTTTGTTAGTAATTGCTAGAGAAGATAAGTCTTCCCAATATTTGAATATGCAAAATAGCTTTGGCTAACCGAAAAAAAGAGGGGGGGGGAAGCCAAAACATGCCACTGCAGTGAGTAACAGGGATGATTAAAAATCACTGTATGTGAAAAAGAAAACCTTCTACTAGAAAGACTTCCCAGATTTGTTATCCCCACCAAAGACATGGTATTTTCCCTCTTTGGCATTTCATTCTCACTGGGGCAATGAAATAGTTGTTTTCAAAGGGAGAGGAACTGTGTTTGCACCTATTTCTTGTTTGACAGTGACCTCTATGAACCAGTCATCACTGCTCTGCCTGTTGTTTTCTTGTTAGCTCTTTGCTGTCAAATTAATTACTGTGAAGTACTAAGCTTGTTGCATTCACGTGCTCTCATTAGCTCACAGGATGTCAGAGTGATTGGATTTTTAGCATTATTTCTTTTTTTACATTCCAGGCTTTCCATTCAAAACCTGTTACTGGCAGGGAGGAAATACTGTATCTAATTCTGATCTCCCATCAGGGTAGCTCCAGTGATACTGAGGATTTGGTTTACAATGCTGTACATGCAATCAGACTGTGTTTATATTAAAACCAACATGAACAACCAGATCGGGATTGCAATGTGATTTTGAAGCACAGCATTAAGTGTCTCTCCTTTGGCAGTACAGAACAAGAAAGAAAATATTTATGATGAGGGTAGCATTTGTCCCTTCCACTCTTAAATCAGAGTAGCGGGCTGATCCTCCCGTTGACCCGCTTTACGCTCCTGCGTTGCTTGTATTAGTGACAACTAACAGAGCTCATGTGCGTGCAGTCCAGGCATGTAGGAGAAGTTTTATTCTTCTTCTGAAAACTGACGTGAGCAGAAGGGGCTTCTTTGCCGTCGCGCTTGAGATTCGCGTGTCCTGCCCCTTGGAAACCACCGTTTGGCTCAGTGAAAAAGATGAAGGGCTCGAGAGTTGCTTTCGTTCTTGAAGTTAGATTTTTTTTTTTTTCCTCCGTTAAAAAAAGAAAAAAGAAAATACAGTTAGAACAGCCGGCAGCCCCGTTGCCTGGGCCGGCTGCGGGAGCCTCCTTTGCCCCATCAGAGCCCGGGCTGCGGCGACGCGCATCCCCCGCTTCCCAGCCCCAGCCCCTCCGCCGCCTGCGACCGCCGCTCCCC